CTGCATGTTTCAGGTTGTTATTAGATACTTTATAATAAACCTGTTCAGAGAGATACTATTGACAGGACTTGAACCTGGGTCTTCTACTTCAGAGATATAAATGCCACATGTTGCCACAAGAACCCAACAAGAAGGTTGTTACTATACTGAGCTCTCCTGAGTGCACAATAAATGTCAATCAAAAGACTGTCTCTGGGTAGAATTGCCCTGAACACATACATAGATGTTGCTGATTTGAATGGACTTCTCCCTTACTGCTCATATGAGACAACATTGTTTATACAACTCACCATGTACTGCAGTAACTTTGTTTTTAAAACTGTGCCCATCTTCATAAAACAGTTTCCTTGATTTAAAGCAGTATCTTTTCCCATTCTAAGTTCACAGTCCCCAAAAACGTGATCTTTAACCTGATTCAGTTGAATTAGTGAATCCGCAGATTTCAGATGCAGTGCTGAAGTCTTGAGATTTTGTCTGGCTGGCTAATTTTCCTTTGTTTTTTGAAATCACAGTAAAAATATGCAGAGGTTGAAAAAATTCTTAGGGATAATATTTATTACAAATTGATAGGTTACATTCTTATAACAGGGAAGTAAACCTTTAACCAGGACTAAGCGCTATGTGACTGATGAGTGAACTGCTGACACTAAATTATTCTGATTTTATTGTGGGAGAAAATAACTTGTTCTGTTGTATCTGGTAATTTGCCTGATTTTCTGTTAGTTAGCTATAGTAACTGAAGTTCAGTGGTGTGTAATTGATCAAATTGCACCGTTTTGTGAATGGAGTTGATTGACACTGGTGAAGTACACAAAATTAAGTGGCCTTTTTTTTTGGTTGGTTGATAGAGAGTTGTCATGATTAATATGTTGTAGAGGACTGTTAAACACTACCTTCAGTTTTGTAGCGCTACAGTGAAAGGATATGCTTCCTGATGCAGAATACTGGGATGAATGTAAAGTAAATTCATAAAAAAATTAGTATCATAAATCGCATAAAAAGACACATGCAGAGTGTCTTAAAAGAAAAACTATAACATTGGTCAATGCTAAAGAATGAATCGATCTAATTCCCACCACACGTTACTAGAAAAATTTGTTCCACAACAATTGTGGAAAATGACTCAAGTTGTATCTCTGTTCAGTCAATTTGTGCACTGGAGCAGACTACTTTAAGGTGTGATTTATATTTGTTTTCTCATTTTGCTGCCTTTCCACAGGTGAAAGTTTATATAATGAAGTCAAAGGAGTCTCTGATCTGCTTCTGTTGTTAGGTGTGTGAATCCCTTTTGTTGTCATTAACCCACCGATTTATGATTTAAAATATAACCCCGTTACTTTTTTTTATCTAAACTACACTATCATTGATCATTTAAAGCTATTTATTTTATGTTGATGTTAGACACCTGAAACTGTTGACTGAAGTTGAGATTACTAGAACTTCCATTTTGTTAGGTAGGAAATGTTTCCTTTTAGGTGATTGCAAGACAGAAACTGATGAGTAATGCAGCATTTTCAAGTAAACCCCAGCACTTAGAATGTTTCACATTTGGAACACTAGAATTTGGCCAACATCATCTGGTGCAACACCATTGGACTTAACCCTCAGTTAACAATAAGTAAACAACAAGTAATATTCTATTTAACAAAGATTAACGAAGTTTTTTTACACTTAACAACAGATTACTTTTGTATTTTCTGAAAAGATGGACTTAATGTAAATACATTACTTAAGACCTGTCTATAAATTATTTTCAGTTTGCCTGAGAGGCCTGGGAACAACTTTCTGCTCAGCTATTTGCCTCCTTTGACTTCAGTAACTTCTTTGTGAAATGTTGTGAGCAAACAAAAGCTAACGCAGCAATTTATACAGATTAAGCTCAGTTAAGACATGAATGCACCTTCTTTCTTTGAGTATTTTCAATTATCATCTTGTAGTATAGGCAGGTATGCTTGTCACAGAAAGAAAAACCTGAATAGTAGTGGACAATAGAATATTTAGCTGAGTGAAGGTGAGTATTGCCAATTAGTGTTGTTGCAAAGAAATTACTTCAGTATCAACTCAGTGACAGTTTAACGTATTACATTTGCAGTGGGAAACTGTTATTTTAGTATTTAAGACAATTTACAACTCTTGTGTTGAGTTGTGTCTTGTCATTACCAAAGGGAAATAGTAGTAAAGTGAAAGTTTTTGTAATCTCAAATATAGTCACTTTCTGTGAACATTAAACAAGTAACTTCAAATGATTTTTTAAAACACTGCAAATTAAATAAACAGTACCAGGAGCATCTTTGCCTGTGGTCGTGTGTTTCATAGTATTTGTTTTGGTGACATCGTGTTTCTTAAATAACTGGCAATACAGTAACCTTTCGAATTGGATTTCTGGACAGAAAAAATGCTTCTGTTCAATTTTATGCAGCTGGACATTGAAATGTATGGGAGTAATGAGTGAGGGACAATTCTCATCTTGTTTGCTGAATAGGAGTTTGGCACAAGATATGTTCAAACATTTGCATTCCTTGAAATGCTTTGCTTCCAAGTGTTCCTAATTTTACAAATCCCTGACGCCAAAGAAAATCTCTAAAATCTGTTCAAAAGAGAGGTAATAAATTATCACATTCAAAAACCAAAATAAATAGGAACTGCTTGTTCATGACACGTTTGTACAATAGCCTATGTTCCCTACTCAGCTTGATAAATGTAACTGACCTACTGCATTATTTCTATGTATGTAGTTAGTGCAGATAGAAAGTACCAGTAAACTAGATCTGAATACTTTAGCGTGAAAGCAGTGACTGAGCTTTAATATGCTAAACTTTAAATATTGTACTTTCAGAATACAAGTTTAGCAGAGTATTTGCCCACCATGGTGCATCATTTGTCTTTAATATATGAATGGAAAAGAATCCTCCTCAATTTTTGCAGCAGAAGATAAGTATTTTATGCTGTTAGCCTCCAAGTAAAATAAGGAGACAGCAAGAACTGCAAATGCTGGAGTCAGAGTCAATATAATGTGGAGATGGAGGAACACAGCAGGTCAGGCAACATCAGAGGAGCAGGAAAGTCAATGTTTTGCGTTTACACCCTTCATCAGGACTTCATCCGTATAAAATAAACCCAGGCTTAAACCACTATCAGAATCATATTATTCTTTGGTGTTGTTAGTTAATTTCACAGCACAATGCCCAATTGAGACAAATACACTTTTATAAAGTCACTATATGCTGGTTGATCAATTGTGGTGTTGCTCAGATAGAATGTTTAAAAATAGATCTAAATTGATTTAGCCCAGTTGCTAATCTCTCTGAATGGGCATGCTTTTTATTTCAGTTCATGCAAGGACTGAGCTTTATCAGGCCCAAGATTTCAGTGTAGCTGACATTTCTGTTACAATTTTTAAATGCTTGTAATTATCTCAACATACGTTAGTATCAAGACTGAGAATTTTTGAGTGTGTATTGCTTTCCTTTCTGTGTTTGTTGTGAAATGCTATGGACTGATCTAAATGCTCACAGCTGACCACATGACTAAACTTCAGGACAATGTAGCCCATTTCAGTAGCTTCTCTGTGTGTACCCTCTATAAGATGCACTACAGTTGCCGCCAAGGCTTCTTTGACAGAATCTCCCAAACCTGGGATCTTTACCACTTAGAAAGATTGCAGCAGTGGGTGCATGGGGACATCATCTTTTTGTTGGTTTCCCTCCAAAATGCCCACTTGTCGTTGTGATGAAAATTTTGGCACTCCATTCCTCCCACCACCATGGGAGCTCCTTCACCATATGACTGCAGCAGTGGAAGGTGATTTACTAGGACCTTTTTGAGGACCGTAAAGGTTGGCCAATAAATGCCAGTAGTAACAGTATTACCACATCCTGTGAACCCTTTTTTTTAAAAGGAAGTGTCATTGATATGAGCCAATCAGTGACTGAGAAGGTTGATTCATTTTTCATTAGGATTTGTGATAATCTATATTTGTGTATCAAGTGTTGAATAATACCAATTACTTTTGGTAAGTATTCTTGTACATTAATGAGGCCCTATGCTTCAGCTTTAAACAGCCATTTAAATTTAATGGTTGTAGACAATGCTTCCCAGAGTTCAGAAAACTGAACAACCTAAGGGAGGAAGGACTGTTAACTAGAGCAGGTAAGTGCTCTTCCAGCACTGTTTGCAGTTCAGATGAGCAGCAGGGCTTTGCCCTTGGCTGCCCAAGCTAACCTTTCTTGATCTGCTTTTCCCCTCCCCCTAAATATATGTACAGGAAGTTTATGCTGGAGTAATACAAAACAGTGGTTAGCCCAATCTAGAGTACTGCATGCAGTTCTGGTCATCTCATTAAGAAAATGTTATTGGAGTGGAGACATACATCCTTTTTTACCTCTTTTACCTCTTCTCAGATCCCCTCCCAATCCCCACAATCTCCTCCTAAACTGACATTGATGACATTGTGATTCATCCACAAAAATTAGACAGTGTACAGTTTTCAAATCTCTTAATTCAAACTTCTGGATTAATATTTTTAATAAGCTTCATATTACTGTTTGCATGTTTATTCACTGCAAATTTCCCTCCTTTAAATGTAATTTTGTCATTGAGTATTCTATTTGTTTTGTTTTATAGTAAAGGTCAGTCAACTCTTGTCATTTTTTGCAGATTCTGCTGAAGGTTCTACTGCTATGAAAGCATCTGATACTCAAGGGTTTGACAACAATGGGAAACAGTATAAGAAGGCAAGTTTATAGTTAGAAATTAGGTGTTTTCTTAAGTTACCTGCTCTGTATAGAATATTGTGACTACTTTAAAGATAAAATTAACTGAGGGAAAAAAAAAATCACTGTCATAATTTTCAACCCCACCAGCATCCACATTCAAGATTCATCTCTGCTGTTACTGTCAATTCAGGCTTGATGCCACCACCAAGTGCATCATATTCTCCCTGTCAGCATCTGGAATCTCTTCTGTGACACTTTTGTCCACTCTTAGACTCACATCACCTTATGTCCCTTCCATGTCATCTTCCCATGCAATTGCACGAGGTGTAACATATGCCTTTTTACCATCTCTCCCCTCACGGGCTAAGGCCCAAAATGCACCTTTCAGTTGAAGCAACAATTTAGTTATACTATTCATTTAGTATACTGTATTTACTGTTCAGAATTCAATCTACTTTATACTAGGGAGAGTAAATGCAGACCAGGTGACCATTTTGCAGGATGCCTTCACTCAGTCCATGAGCATGACATTGACCTTTTAGTTGCTTGCCCTTTTTAAGGTGCTGTTTCACCACATTGGTGTCACACTCACCACTCTGTCCTTGGTCTGCAAAAATATTCCAGTGAATCTCAATGCAAGCTGAGGGGAGCACACTTTGTCTTCCATTAGGCATTTTGTAGCCTTCTGGGCTCAGTTCACCTACTTCAAACTGTGAACTGTGTCTTCCACTTTGATTTTTATTTTGTTCTGCCAAGTGTCGGTCTGTAACTTATATTCATGTTTTTGCTTTCATACAGAGCTGGCCATGATCCTGTCATTCACACTCTGGACCAATGCTTTGTTACTTTACTGCAGTCATTATTACTCCCTTAGCCTTTTGTTCCATGACACATTTGTTTATTCTATCCCAGAGCTCCCATTTTATTTGACCCTCTCCTTCCTCTTTGAATAGCATAAAACCCGTCATGTTTCTACCTCTGTTCACTTTTGAAGAAAATTCATATCGGACTTGAAACGTTAACTCTGTTTCTTACTCCATAGATACTGCCAGACCTGCTGAGTTTCTCCATCACTTTCTGTTTTTATTTCAGGTTTTCAACATCTACATGATTTTGCTTTCATAAAATCAGCAATTGTTGTAAACTGGTTGAATTTGAGCATGGGGCAATAAATATCAAAGTTGATAATCTAATTGAGAAGGTGATTGAGCTGCCATTTAACTTGAACTGCTTTATCCATACCAGTGAAACATTTCTGTTCTGCAGATCTGAATTTATATAAGATGGACAAGATTGCTTCAGCTCCTTAAAACATTGTATAAGGAAGTTGTGTTAACTGTATTCTGGATTTTGCTACTTTATGACTTCCTAAATGGCTAGCTTATAAAGTGAATTCTGTCTTATTTTAAATGATGATTTAAGCATTCTGTTTAGATATTGATGTGCAAACTAAACTCAGAAGGAAACAAACTAGTACAATGATTGACACATGTTGATAAATAACAAATTTTCGTACAAATGTTATGTATAAAATTTTGTCTTGGAAAGATAGAGAATAGAGGCTTTCTTTTCCCCTCTTACTTCAATGACAATTGGTACCTTTTGTACAATTTGGAAATCCAGACTAATGTTCTAATTATGGAGAATCATGATATTGTGATAACTCGAATAGCTGTCTGAGTTAGTAACGGTACTCGCCAATGCCCAAAAGATTACATCAACCAAAGGGCTCAGATATGGAGGATTGGAAATTGTCGGAATTTATTCTTTGAGATCCTCAATGATTAGTATTGATAGTGGCAAGAGTTAGAATGGTGCTGAAGGGCAAATAGGAATTTGAAAGCAGGCAATGAAAAATGTGAAGGGCTGAGCTGTGTGTTTGAAATGCATTGGATAACTGTATAAGGAGGGTTTTTTTTTCAGAATTCTTGAATTATTCATGTTTATTTGTAGGAATATATCCTCGGAGAAATCGAGAAGCATTGCAGTTGACTGTAATTTTTCTTAGTTTTTTTGTATTATGAATACATTCGAAGAAGACTACACATACTTTCCATTTATTCCTCTTCTCTTTTTCCTGCTCTTCTGTCTAAAAGCCAGAGGTGACATGTCTATGCCTCCATGGCACAACAGACGTAGGCCCTTTGTCCCAGGTGTGAGAATTTTGCATCTTTCAACAAGTTTTTTGCTATGAGAATAGGAAGACTAAGTCAACGAAACCAACCGTGTTATTGAACAGCATTCAGAAAAGAGTTACATGACCCCTTTACACAATTTATATAAAATTAAACATACAAGTTAAAACAGAATAATTTCATAAAACCTCAACATTACAATATTTATTTTCTCACTGTTAGAATCTCTCTGTATACATTATGTGAGGTATCTGCAGAAGTCATGGTGTTATCCAAAATTCTAGGAGTTTTTACTTAAATAAGACTTAAGTAATATCTTTAAAGTATGTAGTCATTTGAAATATGTCATTTTTAGTGAGTTGTTTTGTCTGATCCTAATAACCAACATTTATAAGCTGGATTTGCTGAGCTTACTTACCTCTTACTAATGGGTACCAAATGCAGCAGTCCTTTAATCATTAAGCACTACATACTATCCCATTCCTTCCAAGTGTTCATTTGTCTTTTATGTTGTGTTTTTTTTTATTTTTCTCCTTAATTCTCTCCTTCACCCATTGAAAACTCATGAAGGGTGTGCTTGGGGAGCTCATTCTAATCCAGCAGCAAATCCAGGAGCATGAAGAGGCAGCACGCAGGGTCGCCGAACAGTTAAGCTCTGGCTCCTCTCAACAGAAACGAAAGGTGATAGATTGAATCATCATTTGAGATAAACCAAGCTTGATCGCTTGGTATTGACTTATGTTCAAGGATATTGTGCATATTTGAATTGCTCATTGGTTTTGTGCATTAAAGGAAATACTATTTCAAAATTAATTGAAAAATGGCTAGTTATAAATTATGATATGAGACTTACCAATATATGTCGGAAATGAGCTGTTATGAATATGTGCAAACAGTTTTACTAACTATTTGGACATTCACAGATTATGTACATGAAGTTTTGATCTAATTTCTCAAATTATCTGCACTCGATTGCATTATTTTACATAAACTCTTAACATATTTTAATTAACTTTTAAAAAATATTTAATTTGGAAAGTTCAAACTCATCCGGCAAGGTTTGAAATGGCCCAGAAGTTGCAACTCAAGTCATTGCCTGCAAAAGTTAAAGGTCGACGGTTTAGTTACTGTAATTGGCAACATTGTTTTACATAGAAACTGCTTTCATTTGGGGCAGGAATTGGAGAAACGTGAGTCATCCTTTATATAGCTTAACCAAAAGTAAAATTTAGGGGTGGAGTGTGTGGTGGTGAGAATTGAAGGAGACAGTCATCAATTACATTATTGTTATCTCCATCTCTACATATTTGTAGATGGTCTGAACAATGAAGTACTGAAATTCTTGTAAAATGGAAACATTAAGAATTTCAATAGGCTATACCACTTCCACGAGATCTATCATTTAGAGCAATTTTTTTTGTATATTTAGAGAGGATGAAAGAACAAGGAGGTTAAAAGTCTTGTCAGCCTTTAGTTTTGCAGACTTGCATCATTACAGTTCAAGTAAAAGTCATGAAATGATGTCTGACTGTGTCTGAGTTTAGTTTGTAAGCAATTGAAAATAATTTCTGGTTCTGCATGATGCACATTTTGAGGCCTGGGATGCATTGTATAATTGATACTCTGTACCATACCTGATCAACAATGGTGTCAATAGATACAAAAGTACAGGGTATTTTCGAACTCTCTTCAATGTATATTGAAGTAACAAATTGCATAACGTAAAAGTGCATATGTTGGGACAGCAATTGATAAACAATTACTACAGATCCATCCTTGCAATAAAACAAATGTTTGCTCATGATTAATGAGATTAATAATCCATGGTCTGATTACTTTTACAAAAGATTGCACTTCTGAAAATTTCAACCTCCATTTTAACTAGTTTTTCATTATTTTCATATTCTAACACCACGCTGTTTGAGATGCGTATTTACCAAGTATCTAATTTAAATTATTCAGAGTCAACATTTATAACATTTGTCTGACAAAATACAGAAATAAATTTAATTATGCATAAAACAAGGATTAGTTTTGAACATGCCAATTCGTAGTGAAGTCAAACCAAAACTACTTTAGCGTTGAAATCAATGGGAATTAAAATTGGTCAGTTTCCATACTGGGCAGCTGATCTGCAATAGCAGTTTTTTGCTCAGATCACAAATTATGCTGACTAAGAATTACATATTGCAATATTGAAATAATGTACCATTACGAGGAAACATAACAGAACCATAGCATATAACTTGCATTGACTGTAGTTCAGAGAGGAACTTGGGTTTAAACAAAAATTAGCCCTTGCTAATTTACTTGCTAACATCCACAAAGAAATTGTAATTAGCATACCATATTTTACAAAACGAATAAATGAGAGATCAATATATGGTGTTTGTGATAAAAATGTTAGTATAATTCTGAGGTATCAAGTTTAATTTTGGTAGGCTGATGATGTTGTGTAGTTTATCTTGCTGGTAGATTTTAAGTGAAAGAAAAACATTGCATGTCAATTAACATTTTCTTCCTGGAGTCAATGAGCAGGTCAAAGAGATTTTGTTTCCAACAGTTTTTTTTAATCTTTGGGTGTTTTATTTGCTTCATTTCTTTCAGGTTTCGGACAAGGACAAAGCTGAACAGTTGCAAGAAGAACTTCTCCGCACACAGGTAATGAATGTAAATATTTAATTATCAACATGATTGACATTTATTTTCAGGTTTTGGATATAGTTTGGGGAAACCTAACATGCATACTTTGTCTGCTGTAACGCACACAATGCACCTCCAACGTCAAACGTTTGTAATGTTGTTTATGCCATTATCCCTGTTGTACCTTAGGATAATAGTTTTCAGTACATTTGTCATAAAGTCAGTTACTAGTTTAAGACCATCTAAAGCTGATTGGTCATCAGGTTGTTTTTCGTGATGGTGAGCTCTTGCCTTTTTCTTTTGAAAAAATGCATGTCAATAATGCCACAAGGTTGGATATTTCCAATCTAGTGTTATGGCAGTTAGAAGGGATAATGTGGAGCAGATTTTTTTTTTTATTGTGAAATAGTCATTCCAGATTCTTAAATTATGTTTGCAACCTGCAAAACATCTACTGGTGCAGAAATTAATGGAATGGTGCATTACAACAAGGGTTTTGAATTAGATTATTCACCATTTCCTTCAGCGTGGATTTTTGTGTTGCAAATTGATGAAAATGCAAATTGATCCCGATGACAGACCACGGCATCTTCAACTTCATTAATGTTGGTTCCAAGTGGTTTCTCTCCTTAACCAATGTGATTCAAGGATTAATAAAGAAACAGGATGAACAGAGAAAAAGAATATTGGGTAGAATGGAGTTAAATTAGGTACACACAGAGAAAGGATTAAGAGATAATAAAGAGATTTCAGAGAGCAATTTTAAAAATTAGGTTCAGAATTTTAGGTTTTAATAGGGGCTCTAGGGGCTCTAAAATTTCATTGTTTCCTTTCTGGATTCCAAAGTTAAGTTGTATGTCAAGAACATAATACACTTCATTTAACAGTGTCCTTTCATGTGGCTTTGGCAAGATTAATTTGTTTTCATGGTAATTTCATTACACACATTGGAGAGACAAATTAGTGATATTCGGCACACTTTAATAACAGTGAGTATCATGACCCTGCTATTAATTTGTTTGAAGATATCTGCGCCATTATTTTTGTGACAGTCTGCTTCTAGATGGTGCCCAAGAGTGGAAAAAGTAAAAGGTATCTGGGTTATCTTCTCGGAAATTTTGAGATTGATTCTTGTCAATTTTGTAACGCTGGCTGTAAAAGCTTTGTGTTAGGAAATTATAACTCAACTGACTGAAAACAGGGATGTAACCAGAATAAGAACAGGTCTTAATGGCTACCATCTCAACTTCAATATATAAGACACCGCACCAAAATTCCAACCCTCTTTAACATTCACTCATTACAAGAACCTCTTCATTGTTGGCAGTGAGGTCGTTCATTCTTTCTGTAATGTAAGTTTCTGTTGCTATGAGTACAGCACATAGTTTATATTTGAATATTAACTGGTGAATTGCTGTGTATATGAAACATGCATTGTAAATGTCTGTTGAAGACAAATTCAGCTCTGAATATTAATTGAATTGGTTCACTAGAAATTGCTGATTTGTCACAGACATGCTTGCATTGACACTGACACTGTTTTAACCATACCCATAGTTAGTAGAGAATACCTGATACACAATTTATTTACTTTAACAAACACCTACTTCAATTCAGTGTCAAACCTTGTGGTCTTTCTCTTTCACCAAAACTTGCAATACTGCGACAATTATCTGTGATAAACGCACCCTCCTTTAGCAGCTTAGATTTTATTCAGCAATTGAGAACAGATTTCATCAGAGCGATTGCTGAAAATGTTGACTGACAATGTAAGACATTTCCTGACTGGCTCCCGCTGTCCCCAGAATGCAGAAGAAAGCTGTTTGCCTTTTGTCATGATGTACCTTGCTGGAGCTTCTCACTAGTGGTTGAATATGTTTTCATCTGCTGGGTTGGTGTAATTAATCTGATTAATTAAAATGACCATGATGCAATAACACTTCTATTTCCTGGTGCTTCCATGATGTTTAAAAACTGATTTTTTTTTTACTGTACTGCACATCATTTTAGCAAACCAGTAAGCAAGTGCGAAGGCTGCAAACAATATACGATCGAAAATCACTCAACTTTTCATCTTACCATGTAATCACTAATCGCACAAGCTGGCTAAATTACAAGTGCACATTCTGCGTGAATGATGATCAAAATCAGAATTTAAGGTTTGTTTCCACAGAAGAGTTTAATTGATTTTGTTTTGTTTTTTTCTTTTTTATAGCTGAAATATCAAAGAATTCTTGAACGTCTAGAGAAAGAAAATAAAGAGTTGCGAAAACAGGCTCTCCAGAAAGATGACAAAGGCATTCACCTAAGGAAGATGAAGGTGAAGATGTGTTTTCAATTGGAAATAGAAATGCTTCGAAAATATAAAACACTTTCCCACTGTTCCAAAACTTGTGTTGACCTGTATTCGATTTCTTAACAGAATCATAGAATAGAATAGAATCCCAACAGTGTGGAAACAGGCCCTTCGGCCCAACAAGTCCACACCGACCCTCAGAACACCCACCCAAACCCATTTGCCTATAACCCACCTAATCTTCACATCCCTGAACACTATGGGCAATTTAGCATGGCCAATCCACCTGGCCTGCACATCTTTGGACCGTGGGAGGAAACTGGAGCACCCGGAGGAAATCCACGCAGACACGGGGAGAATGTGCGAACTCCACACAGATAGTTGCCCGACGGTGGAATTGAACCCAGGTCCCTGGCGCTGTGAGAACCTAATCATTTGCCGTATAAAATGGATTTTCTTGTTACTGTTGGTTCTTATGCCAATCACCTCAAATCTCTGCATTTGGTTCTTGACTGTCAACCCAAGGGAACAGTTTCTCTTGATCAGCTCAACCCGGATCCCTTGTGATTTTAACCACATGTATCAAATATCCTTTCAATCTTCCATAAGGAGAGCAGCCTTAGTTTTTCTATTTGATCCTTATAGCTGATGTACTTTACCTTGGAGCAGTTCTCATAAATTGTTTCTGCACCCTCTGCACATCTATTCTTGGCCCTACACTTTAGGAAGGGACAGATTGCTCTCATTGAGGTTGAATCAGTGTTTTATAGCGGTTAACCATCAGTTGTTTGCTTTTGTATTTTTTGCTCCAGTTAGTTAAGGTCAAGAGCCTGTATCCCTTTTTAATCACAGTTTTAAACTGCCACATTCTAAAATTTGTGCATATATGTCCAATAAGAGTTTCCATTCCTGGTTTTACTCCTGGCAAGAGGGGGGAGAACTTGAAGGTGGTGGAGTTCCCATGTATCTGCTGCCCTGGTCCTTTGAGATGTAAGTGGTCATGGATTTGGACAGTGCTATCTGAGGATCTTGGGTGAATTTCAGTCTTACTTCCAGTCTTTTTAGTTACATTAAGCAAAAACAGTTACTTCTACCACTGTTTGTGATAATGTTGTTTCCAGTCTTTTTTATGAGGCAAGGTTCAGCGGACTCAAACTTTGGAAAGGTTATAGTTAACTCCTTTATACCTGGATAGTTAACATCTGTATGTTATGTTGAGGTTTGGTTGTCCATGTTTTACAGTTCAAGCTCATGTCCATTTTTTTTTGTATATTTGGATCAAATAGTTTCGAAGTTCTGTAGAGGTCATGTACTTCAGACTACAGATCTGGTTGTTCTTGTACATATTAGGAATTGTACCATTGAATTTATGTCACCTCTTCTCATGAAAATGCATGATTTTCCATGTGTCTTTATTAAATTGCTTTTGCCACATATCTGCCCATTCCACCAAACTGTCTGTACCCTCTGAAGCCTATCACTATCCTTCTCAAAGTTGCTAATTCTTTCAAGTTTTGTGTCATCTGTTAATTTTGATGTACCCCGTGCATGTAAGTAATTCATATATGTGAAGAAAAGCAGTGGTCCTCATAGTGACCCTTGAGAACGCCATTATAGGCCTTCCTCCAGTCTGCAAAACGGCCAACTTCGTATCCGTGCTGCCACTGTTTCTTTTAGCAAATGAACTTTAGCTTTTTTGAGAGACCTAATTTGTAGTGCTTTATCTCTTAAAAAAAGACAGCCAAGTTAGTTCAACATAATTTGCCTTTAACAGACTATGCTGGCTTTCCTTCATTAATCCACCCTTATTCAGACTTCCAGTTTAGTTGAATTCTGATGAAAGCTTTAATGCACATGTAGAAAAAAGGAGCAAGATAAGGCCATTCAGACCCTACAAGCCTGCTCAGCCATTCGATATGATCATGGCTGATTATTCCAACTCAACACCCTGTTCCATACTCTTGATCCCTTTACCCCTAAGAATTATAACTCGTTCCTGAAGATATTCAATCTTGTGCCTTCAATCACTTTCTGTGGCAGAGAATTCCACAGGCTTATTACTGTCTGGGTGAAGAAATTTCTCCTCTGCTGTGTTCTAAATGGCCTACCTCATACCCTTAGATTGTGATCCCTAGTTCTGGACTGCCAATCAGAAAAAGATCCATTTATTCCCGCTGTTTGTTTCCTGTCTGCCAACTAGTTCTCTATCCATGTCAGTAGACTACCCCCAATTTCATTTTGTTTTTACTTTCCACTGGTTATTTGAATATATTGTTTAAAAGTTTAAGTGATATGCTTTGGAAATATTGACTTGGAACATCATTTACCTGACTGCCTCAATCAAGTTCTGTAATAATTTATAATGTGTTGTACTAGATTATTTTAGGGGTTAAATTGAAGAATTCTTCCTTTTCTAGAAGTCTCTAATTGACTTGTATTCCGAAGTGTTGGACATCCTGTCAGACTATGACTCCAACTACAACACCCAGGACCATCTCCCAAGGGTGAGCAAAAATTATCATTGTCTCTGAGATAGTAGGAAATTATTTATCATTGTCTCTAGTTGTTTAAGGAGTATCCGAAGATAAATAAGAGTTAAAAGGACAGTGCGTCTGACACTGAGAAATGTAAGTTTGTTTACAGATGATTTTCATGTCTGCTTTGTTTTTAATTGACGCAAGTTGTTTTCTTCTAGGTAGTTGTAGTTGGAGACCAAAGTGCTGGAAAGACCAGTGTTCTGGAAATGATTGCCCAAGCTAGGATATTTCCTCGAGGATCTGGTGAAATGATGACTCGTGCGCCTGTCAAGGTAAAGAGATTAAACTTGTTGACGAGAATCTATAGAATATGGGAGTAAACACAGAAAAGTACATACTTAGCCAAAGTTGCATCCGCATTGGCATTTTAAAAAATTATCCTAGTTCTCAACTGATTTGTAGAGCTTTGATTTCGAACCATCTCAAGTAACCATTAGTGAGCCACTTAATAAAAAGTAAGATGTTCCTCCCTATTTGCTGATGCATAGTATGATGCCATGTACTAAGTTTAATTGAGCTCTTGTCTTTGATATTGGCTTAAATGTACCTTTAAAATTTATTGTGCGCAGCCAATTTTTTTGTCAAGGTATCAGTGCATGATATCATTTTTTAAAATATATGGTCACTTCAGTACGTATCACAGAATAAGAAGTGTGCGGGACCTTCTCGGCTGCTGAGAGTGACCATGCATGCATTAGTTTATTTGGAACAATGATCAGAGCTATGAAATAGAGCTGTGACATGGTCTTGATGCATAAACTATGGCTATTTGCAATGCAGACTTTTTTTTAAAGTTACAGCTCATTTAAATTGAACCAACTCCGGATTTTTGCTCAGCTTTACATATTTTTTGACTTGCATTTAATTACCACAAAAATACAAGAGATGATAGTGCTAAGAAGAGAGGCATTATATGAGAAAATGGAAAATGAACACTCAAATTGGTATACTTAGTTCCCGAATGAGATGACTCAACTTATTACAATAGGTTAATCTCGGAAATCAAACAATTGGTAGTTCACTCATGCTAGTCTCTAGTCCACATAGCAGTAGTAGTTTTAAAGTTGGCTCAAATTAGTTAAGAATGGGGAAGCTCATCAGTGTTTCCATTCCTGGTAACTGTCCAACAATCTGCTAAATTGTGAATATTGGCAGAAGTCCTTTCATAATAGTACATCTCACCTAGGATTCTTCAGGAAGAATGAACATGTGGCTGGGAAATCTGTGGCTGCTTGCTGCTGTATGCACCACCAAGTAGTCCACACCTTCAACATAAAAGAAATGGTGAAAATTATTAGGTCAGCAATTTGTTTTAATAATAGCTTTCACTTGGTGTTGCTAAATATGAGTCAGATATTTCATTACTGAACAGGAAGTTGCTCAGTTGTGACTGTGCTGCTGAAGGACATCACACCTTCATTGAACTAGTTTGGAAAATAGTTCATCAAGAGGCTGATTGTGAATTGTTTGTCTTAATTATGGTATTTCCCTGTCAAGCAACTGTCACTTCAAAGTACTGCATTTGACGATCATTAACTTTCTAGTGACATGCCTACCTTTTTAATAGCAAGTGCTCAGAAATATGGAAAACTTACGATCAAATTAATTTCCACTTTTCCTTCTTTAATAAATATGTCTCCAGTATTACTTTGTGTTATTACAGGGTCCTAATGAATAAATATTCAAATTCAAGATGTTTTTTAAAACCTTGAATTAAGTAATTATACAGCCCCTTCATAATTTCCACCTTTTTACATGACTCAACTTTTGCTTATTTTTAATTTTCGAGATAACCACATACAGGAATGATATAAATTGTATAAGTATAATGAAATGATGCCAAGTTTCAGAGTAGAAAGTTTTTATTTGTCACATGCAGCATTCTGCAGTTGAATAAATAGCCCCTCAGATATGGCAACCTAATTTATTTTCAGGTCACTTACTTCAAAGTTAAAATTTATTTTAAGTTAGTGTTACAGCATTTGTTATATTTCTTTACATTTGTGCGCTATAGTTCATTTATTTCTGCATAAATGACCTTTATTCATTACATAGTTTCTGCAAAATTGGATTTTTTTCAGGTGACATTGAGTGAAGGACCTCATCATGTGGCAGTGTTTAAAGACAGCTCACGAGAATTTGACCTGACCAAAGATGAGGATGTAAGTTCTTTCAGGATTTGTTTATTTTACTTGTTTAGATAATTTAGATTCTAAATAGGATGTATAGTCACTGTTAACTTTCAGAGCTGGTGTTACTGAAAACGGTTTTAAAAACAGATCAAAAAGCAAAATAGTATAGATCATAGAAATGCTTAAAAGGCTAGACAACATATGTAGGAAGTGAAACAAATTAACATTCCAGATGTGTCTAGACTTAACTCTTGACTATTCAATCATTGCTGGCGCACCTCTAACAATTACTGCTCTTCCCACCCTTGTGTCCACATTTTGGAAGTTATTAAAGGATTCCTCCTTGGCCTATCCACCATATCCCTTAGGAACAGCAACGCTCTTTTGTTACTGTACTGCTGTGTGAGCACAGAAATCTGCATTAACATTCCTGAGCAGTACTGAGGGCGTGCTGCACAATCAGAGGAAATCTTCTTCAGATTAGACTTGAAATTGTGGCCCCACCACCTTCTTAGTGGGTGAACAGGAGTGAGTTATCCCTGGTGTTTTAGTTAATATTTATCCCTCCACGAACATCATCAAAAGACATACTGCCTGATCATATCACATTGCTTTTGGGAAGTGTGGAAATTGACTGCTGCATTTCCTTCATTCCAAAATCACTACACTTCAAAAGTACTTCATTGGATGTAAACTCCTTTGAGATGTTCTGAGCTGATGCTGCATAAATGCAAACCCTCTATGGTGTCACTTGGCAATGTATGATTGGGCATAAAATGTGTTTCCACATGTCTGTTTTTCCTCTTCATCTGTGTGCAGTTTGTGTAAGTTTACCTGTCTGATGTCCATTTTTAATTTCATCCACTTAAATATAGGTGAGAAAAAACTGCCAACATTTGCACCTGCACATCTTTTTTTCCATTGTTGGACTGACTCCACACTCGCCCTCATCCCTGTAACTGTCTCAGACTACACCTGTTGCAATTTGGGATCTGCTTAACCCTAAACTGAGTTTCTGCCTCTGTTTCATATCCTTTTTGCTTTTACATTCAGAACATTATCAGCAGCAGGAGGGGTGGGTATTGTACTCTTAGATTGTGCTCCCAGCTTGATTTCCCCACTGTTCTCCCAACTGGTGACTCACTTTACATAATGTTCAGGTTGTCCAAATTTCTAGTGCTTAAATAACAATCTGTGTCAACCTATATCTTTAGTAAACTAGATTACCTCCAGTTCCTCAATATTTGCAATTTATTTCATTGTATTTATTTATTGTCACTGACCTCAAACCTCACTTTCACTGGAACTTTCTCCTAACCTTACAACATCCTCCCTGAATTTCTGATTTCTCATACTCTGACCTCTTGTGCATTTTTCTTCTTTCACCCAACCATTGTCGACTGTACCAGTTTTCTAGGTTGCATTCTGTGATATTCTCTTAAACTGCTTTGTTGCTTCAATTCTACCCCTACCTCCCATCTCCTGTTTAGCTTCTGTATCATTTCCTCATTCTCCCTGGTGGCAATGAATATTTTTCAATGTTTAAAAATAATGATGTAGCTACAAGATCTTGTTGTCAGTGCTGTTGCCACTACTACCTCAACTACAGCTTTGCAAAGTACAAAATTGTTCACGGGAATCTCAGCTGTTGAAATCTGCCGGGCAACGACTGCTACTTTAGGCTATAATCTGTTACATAATCAGTGTCAGATATGTGTCTTGCCAGATGAATTCCTGAAGCAAATCCTGACCTCCAAAATAACATGGTGTAGAACTGGATGAACACAGCAGGCCAAGCAGCATCAGAGGAGCAGGAAAGCTGATGTTTCGGTTCGAGACCCTTCTTCAGAAATGGGGGAGGGGAAGACTGACCTGAAACGTCAGCTTTCCTGCTGTGTTCACCTTGTTATCTCAGATTCTCCAGCATTGGCAGTTCCTGCTATCCCCGACCTCTGAATTCTGCTTTGCTTATGGATTGTCTGGAGGGCACTTCATAATCTAAATTCATGAATGCAGCTGATTAGTTATGGTTTGAGTTACATCTCTAAATTATGGTTTGGATGATGAATTGTATTTATGTTTCTGTTTACGCAGCTAGCAGCCTTGCGCAATGAAATTGAAATAAGAATGAGAAGTAGTTTAAAAGACGGGCAAACTGTCAGTCCTGAGGTATGAATGATTCTGTCTAATTATTTGCAGTAATAAAAAGTGTTCTGTTCAATACACTGTTGCAACAGAATTTATTTTGTCTATATGTTGAATGAAGTATAACAGCAATCATTAAAACTAACCTAAAACTTATGATATTTAGAAATTGCTGTGGATTTGTATGGTATGTCTTAAGTTAACCAACTGTGGAATTTGTATTAAAGTTATTGCTTGCATTCACTTTTCTATCATTCCTAGACCATTTCATTAAGTGTGAAGGGTCCAGGTCTGCAGCGAATGGTACTAGTTGATCTTCCTGGCGTTATCAGTGTAAGTATCAGAAAACATTCTTTGTTCTGTAAAGGAAATATGGTGCATCTACTTCTTTCACATTTTAAAATCGTCAGGTTAACAGAATCTTTTTATTGTGAGCTAATTAGATCTATATGTTATAAAAATAATCATTATAAATACCTATAATGACACTGAAAGCCAAATAAAAAATGAAGTATTTGGATCTAAAACTTTTGACAAAATTTTGCACTAAACATTCCCATGTGATGGCGTGTGTACTTCCCATGGTGATCCAAGTGTAGTGTTGTTGGAGGAGCTGCTGTTATTTGAAAGTAATGTCAATTACCATTGAAAAGATTTGAATTAGTATTGGGTCTTATGTTTTGTTGTCAATGGTTCTTTGTGCGTTTGATCAAATGAGTCATGTTGGTCAAATAAAGATTTCTGATTGTAATGTGAACATTGTAAAACTATTAATTGAATTTGTACTTTGATAATACATAGTTTATGTCTTCAACTAAATCTTTAGTCTGTTAGGGAGAGCTTGAATTTATCTAGAATAATGGCAAGAATGTTTCCTGTTGTATCACTGAACTTAAAAGCTTCTTTTTCCTCTGTCAAAGACTGTGACATCAGGAATGGCTGCTGACACCAAGGATGTAATTTTTAGCATAAGCAAGGCTTACATGCAGAATCCCAATGCTATTATCCTTTGCATCCAAGGTAAGAATTCAAAATTTATAAATAAAGATACATAGCTGGTGAAAAATTCTTGCACTGAATGTGACTTCATATGGCTTTCTAATATGGATAAGATAATTATTTTGAACTTGATTCATATTTTTTGTAATATAGCATATAAAAGCAAAGGAGCCTTAGCTTAATTTTCCATTTTATTTTTAGTACTTACAGAAATAATAGATGTACGGATTTATGAACATTGAGATTATAAATGACTCCATAAAAATTTGCATTTTTGTACACCTTATCCTGTAACTGTCATATAGAAAAATACTGAAAAATTTTCTACCAGCCAAAGTTAATGCGTATTTTCTGTGTTCTGATATTGATTGCTGTTCTTCAAATAGTGGCCTGTGATGCATCTAAGCAGGAAAGATCTATGGTTTCAGCCAAAAGATGAAATGCTGTATCAGCAATAATACCTCATTTTACTGACACCTTTGAGTTGGATTTGAACTCTCATCATTTTGACACATGGGTGCAAGTTCTACCCATGTAAACATTTTGACAAGTACAACTTGCTACAGTCAGGAACTTGCACCTTTCACTTCTGCCTTGGAAATGAATTTCACTTTAACAATTAACCCTGGTTTGGACAAGTTGCTGCCTGGAATTTGATAATTTGGGATCTCCACTATCTATCTTGTCTCATGGATGATATAAAATAATACATGCTAAACCAGTCCTATGGATGATATATGATAATACGTGCTAAACCATAAGTATTTGCAAATAATAAAAAAGAGATCTTGGCGAGCACAGGTTGTGAATAGGTTTAATGTTAGTTATAAGTGAACAAGCATATTAGGAGATAACAAGGTGTAGAGCTGGATGAACACAGCAGGCCAAGCAGCATCAGAGGAGCAGGAAAGCTGACGTTTCGGGCCTAGACCCTTCTTCAGAAATGTAGCATATTCGGAGGCTTTAATGAAGTGGAATGAATTCACTTAGAATGGATTATCAAGCAAAGTAAAAATAATTGAGCTATATATTTAAAATAACTTCTAACAATTGCACATTTGCCGTAATTGCTACGGATTCTATATTCAATTGTCAGATGGTTCTGTAGACGCTGAACGCAGCATTGTCACTGACCTGGTTAGCCAGATGGACCCACAAGGCAGAAGGACTATCTTTGTGTTGACCAAAGTGGATCTAGCAGAAAAAAACCTGGCTAGTCCCAGTAGGGTAAGGGCATTGCAACATTGATACTTTTAAAATTTGTTTGAAACTAACTTCTGTGCTATTTTAACGTATTTAATGTTTTCTATGTTCTGGACATGTAGTTGATTAATTCATTTTCCCAAAGATTGATCATTCATTGTTTTCAGTATCGTTAAATGTTCATTGTTTGTTTGTCTTTGTAGCCTGTTTCCCTGTAATTATTACAGTCATTCCATCACAGATGTGAATCAGTGATATACACAGGGGTGAAAATAATATACAAACAAAACTAGTTTACTAAAATATATATACTTCTGATCTTTTTAAAGCTTTTTGTGTACTTGTCACAAGACTTCTAACTCTAAACAAATTAGATACAGTGTACAAGATGTCCTTAATTAAGCAGACTGAAACTCTATAGGTAGTTAGATTGAAGATTAAGTAATTTGTAATTAATGCTTGTCACTTAAAATACTGCCAATAAATCTCACCAACCACAGCTACAAGAGGAATGAGATGTGAATGACTGTTCTAGACATCAACGCAGAATTAACTGAATTTGGATTAAGGGAAACTCCAGTCGCTGGGAATTAGTTGGAATCTAATCTTGCACAACGGTTGAATCTTGTGGTAGTTATAGGCCAATCATCTGAACCCCAGATGCTCTTGAAGGCAAAGCCCTAGATCCAATTTGTCTTATGGCATGAAGAAGGCATGTTTGTTGATGATTGCATTGTGTTCCATTTGCAACTCCTCAGATAATACAACATTTTGTGCCTCCGTGCACCAGACTTGGAAAACATTAAAGCTTGAGCTGCTAAGTCACAAGGGACAAGCACGCTGACAAGTGCCATGCATGATCATCTCTGTTAAAAGGGTCTAACACGTTCCCTTGATGTTCTATGATACTGATTTTGCAGAATCTTCCATCATCAACTTCCTGAATGTCAACATTTGGACAGAAATTTAAATTGGAGCAGTTTTGGCAACAAGAGAATGAGTGGCTCACTCTCTAATTACTGAATTATTGAATTACTGACTAATTCCTGACTACCACTAAGGCACATCTTAGGTGCCTGGTTTAATACAGTTCATGGGTAAATGCCGTTTTAACATATTACATGCTGGACACCTTCCAGGCAGGACAGAGTACCTAGTTGATCATCTTAAATATTCACTTAATGCGCAGCTGGTGCATTATGGCTGCAGTGTGTACTATCTACATGATGGATTGCAGCAACTTGCCAAGGCTTCTTCAAATTCATGACCTTTACTACAAGAACAGTTTGCGCCTAGAAATGTTTACTTAGTTACAAGTTCCCCTAGAAGTCACTTGTCTGGCTAAGAGCTATACTACCATTTCCTAATCATCACTTCGTTTATAATTCTGGAAGTCTCTCCCTGACAGCACGGTCTGAGTGCTTTTGTTATGTGGACAGTGACAGTTCAAGGTGACAGCGGACTGATGGGCAATAAATGGTTGTCTTGCTAATGATGTCTAAATTTTAAGAATTAGCTAAAAATGTAACCATGCTTAACTACAGCATAGAAAATCCTTAGGGAATGAAGCAAGACTTAAGATTTTTACAAATCAGTCTCAAACTATATAGGTGGAATGACATGGTCATGACTCTAAACCCAGTTGCTCATCGTTTTATTCATTGAAAAATACAGCAGTTTTGAGTGTTCACCATAAAATGATTTTCTGTGAGCAAATCACAGTCCAGATTTGATGCAGCCCATGAATACATATTTCAAAGTAAAATGTGCCAGCCCTAGTAGCATTTTTACTAGCTGTCCACTCCCCAAATGGTTAATTTCTACTTTAACTCTATGATTTATGTTGTGTGCAATGCATTAATTATGCAATGTATGCAAACTGATTCTTTTATTGGATTGTTTGGATTGCACAACTACAGATTCAACAGATTGTGGAAGGCAAGTTGTTCCCAATGAAGGCTCTTGGTTACTTTGCAGTCGTTACTGGCAGAGGTAAGTAAGCCACATCAATGTTCCATTGTTCTTTTTAAGAAGTCCCAGAAGGAAATACTTTGTCATTTATTTTGCTAAAGAAATCTTTTGTTGGAAAAACAGACTGCTTAAACGCTTTATGAAATGAGCATATGAACAATTATTTTGAGCCCAGGAAACGTAGCGGGTATTTAAGCCACAGTTTTTGTAGTGTCCTAAAGTATAAATTTATATTAAAATACCTCTATATCTTTTGTATTTTAAACAGGGAACACCAATGAAGGTATTGATTCCATAAAGGACTATGAAGGAGATTTCTTTCAGAATTCAAAATTATTGAAGTAAGTCGTGCAATGTCTATAATTATGTTTTGGTGGTTTGATTTGCACTTTGGTAATGTGAGAACTTGGTGCTGCATAACTTGAAGGTATAACAGACAGTCACATAGAGTAAAATCCTCCAGCTTTATATGCCAAAACAGTGCCCTACAATATCATTCAGTCTTTTAAGGAAGACCGTTGGCTTTTTTCTAATAAAGGCCATCAAGTTTAAGTCTATTGAGATAGTATATGGGTCTACTTTAGTGTAGCGTATTTTTAAAATATTAACATTTGTGTTCCATCATTATTTTTCATACACTGAAATGCGTTTATAGTCCTTGATAGCACAGTCCCTTTAACACTGCATTAGTGGCATTTGTTTTATAGGCAGAGCTTAAATTTCTGCAGTCTTCAAATTCTGAATTCAGATTATGGTTAACTTTTGGAAGATTTCGGTTAAAATGGAAATTAAACCTGAAATATTTGAGATTGATAGCTTCTGTGCTTATACAAGTCTCAGTCATATAAAATTTGCTCAGATATAAAATTTGTATTCGCTGTATCGCTGATATATTTTAATCTCTGTTACAGGCAGTTTTTTGTGTCTTATTTATGAATAGAGGGGTTATATCTGAAGTATTGCCTTTTGATACCTGGTCCTTTTGAATTTATGTTTTAAAATTTACTTTACCACAAGGGGGAGCTGTATCCCAATTTAATCACTACAAGTTGATTCATTTCTGATTTGAACATTTAGGTAAATGCCAAAGGTTTACTCGAGTCATACAGCACGAAGACAGATCTTTTGGTCCAATTCCTCAATGCCAACCAAGTTTCTTAAACTAAACCAGTCCCACTTGCCTGCATTTGGTCCCTAGCCCTCTAAACCTTTCCCATTCCTGTACCTGTCCGAATGTATTTTTTAAATGTTGTAACTGTTCCTGTACCTACCACTTTCTTTGGCAGTTCATTCCATTTTTGAACCACTTTGTGTGGAAAAGTTGCTCCTCAGGTCCTTTTTAAATCTTTCACCCCTCACCTTGAAAATATGCCCCCTAGTTTTGAACTCCTCTACTATAGGGAAAAGACCTTTGCTATTAATTTTTTCTATGCCACTCATGATTTTATAAGGTCACCCCTCACCCTCTTACGCTCCAGTGAAAATAGTCCCAGCCTATCCAGCCTCTCCCTATAACTCAAACCATCCAGTCCCAGCAACATCCTGGAAAATCTTTTCTGAACCCTCTCCAATTTAATAATGTCCTTCCTGTAGCAGGGCATCCAGAACTCTGCACAGTACTCCAAAAGTAGCCTCACCAATGTCCTTTACAACTTCAGCATGACGCCCCAACTTCTATACTCAGTGGTCTGAGCAATGAATGCAAGCGTGGTAAATACTTCTTAACCACCCTGTGTACCTGTGACGCAGCTTTCAAAGAAGTATGTACCTAAACCCCTAGATCTCTCTGTTTGACAACACTACCCAGGACCTTACCATTAACTGTATATGTCCTGACCTTGTTCACTTTACCAAAATGCAATACCTTGCATTTAGCCAAATTAAACTCCATCTGCCACTTTTCAGCCCATTGGCCTAGTTGATCAAGATTCCTTTGTAATCTTAGATAATCTTCTCTTTTTACTATACAACCAATTTTGGTGTCATCTGCAAACTTACTGGCCATGCCTCCTAAATTCTCCTAAATAAATGACAAACATCCATGGACCCAGCACCGAAAGCTGCGGAACACTGCTGGTCACAGCCCTTCAGTCTGAAATCCAACCATCCATCATCATCTTTCTGTCTCCTACCATCAAGCCAATGTTGTGTCGAATTGACAAGCTCTCCTTGAATCGCAAGTGATCTAACTTGACTGATTTGTCTGCCATGTGGAACTTTATTGAAAGCTTTACTAAAGTCCATGCAGATAACGTCTACCACTCTGCCCGCTTCAATCTTTTTGCTTACATCCTCAAAAACTCAATCAAGTTTGTAAGACACAATTTCCCACATCCAAAGCCATGTTGACTATCCCTAATCAGTCCCTGCCTCTCCAAATGCATGTAAATCCTACCTCTCAGAATTGCCTCCAGCAACTTACCCACCACTGATCTCCGACTCAGTAAATGTCGAGCTGGAAAAGCACAACAGGTCAGACAACATCCGAGGAGCAGGGAAGTCAATGTTTCGGGCCGAAATTGTTTGTCAGGACTGGGGAGGGGGCTCGGGGTAGGGGATAGGATAGGTGGGATGGAGAAAAGTGCATGCAGGTAGGGGGTTAATGTGGTTGGTCAGTGGGAAGGGTGGAGTGGATGGGTGAGTAGGAAGATGGACAGGTTGCAGGTGGAGAGACTTTTGAAGTTGGTGAAGTCAATGTTGAGGACATTGGGCTGTAAGCTCCTAAGGCGAAATATCAGGTGTTGTTCCTCCAGTTTATGTTTGGCCTAACTCTGACAGTGGGCATGTCACCAGGGGAGCCGGAGGGGAAGTTAAAGTGGATGGCAACCTGAATGTCGGGTTGGTTGGTGTGTGTAGAACACAGATGCTCTGCGAACTGGTCCCCGAGTCTGCATTTGATCTCCCCGATATGGAGGAGACCACATCAGGAGCAACAGATAAAGTAGATGAGGTTAGATGAAGTGCAAGTGAATCTCTGCTGGATTTGGACGGAGGCGAGGGGGAGGTGTAGCACCTGCTGCTGCAGGGAAAGGTACCGCATGTGGTAGAGGGGGAAGTGGGGAGTGTGGAACTGACATGGGAGTCACGGAGTGAAGGGTCCCTGCAGAAAGCGTACAGGGGTGGGGAGGAAAATATCTTTTTGGTGCTGGGGTCTGATTGTAGGTGGCGGAAATGTCAGAGAATGATGTGTTGTATTCGGAGATTGGTGGGGTGGTGTGTGAGGACTAAGCGGACTCTATCCTTATTGTTGGACGGAGAGGGTTTGAGGGCGGAAATGCAGGAAATGAGGGCATCCTCAATAACAGGAGGGGAAACTATGGTCCCAACTGATGTCCTTAAATAAAGCTCTCCTTAAATAAAGGCATTACATTAGCCACCTTCCAGGTCTCCGGCACCTCACTCGTGGTTATAGATGACACAAGTATCTCTGCTAGGGGCCACGCAATTTCTTCCTTAACTTCCCACAATTTTCTGGGATATACTTGATCAGGTCGTGGAGATTTATCCACTTTTTTGTGTTTTAAGACCTCCAGCACCATCTCTTCTGTAATGTGCACTGTTTTCAAGACATCAGTGTTTATTTCCCCGAGTTCCCTAGCCTCTGTGTCTCTCTCCACAGTAAAAACTGATGTGAAATATTTGTTAGTACCCCCTGTGATTTCACACATAGATAACCTCACTGATCTTTAAGGGGCCCTATTCTCTTCCTAGTTGTTCTTTTGCTTTAATGTACTTATAGAATCTCTTTGGGTTAGCCTTAACCTTATCTGCCAAGGCTATCCCCTATCCCCTTTTAGCCCTTTTGAATTCCCTGTTAAGAATGCCCGTACACCCCTTATACTCTTCAAGAGATTCACTTCATTCCAGTTGTCTATACCTGACATATGCCTCTTCCTTATTCTTGACCATCCATTGTTCCCTACTCTTAACCAACTTTACCCTTCACTCTAACTGGAACGTAATGCCTCTGAACTCTTGTTATCTCATTTTTGAAAACCTCCCATTTGCCTCTTGTCCTTTTACCTGTGAACAGACTACCCGAATCAACTTTTGAAAGTTCCTTTCTCATACTGTCAAAATTTGGCTGTCTCCAATTAAGAACTTTTACTTTTATGCAAGGCCTATCTTTTTCCATGACTATTTTAAAGCTCATAGAATTATGATCGGGGTCCCAAAGTGCTCTCCCACTAACACTTCAGTTCTGAGGAAGGGTCACCTGACCTGAAACATTAACTCTGATTTTTCTTCATAGATGCTGGCAGACCTGTTGAGGTTTTCCAGCAACTTGTTTTCATTCCTGATTTACAGCATCCACAGTTCTTGCGGTTTGTTACTTCAGTCGCTTGCTCTGCCTTATTTCCCAAAAGAAGTTTGAGTTTTGCTCCTTCTCTAGTAGGTACATTTACATATTGAAAAAGAAAATTTTCCTGAACACACAATAAATTCCTCATCATCCAAGCACTTGACACTATTGCAGTCCCAGTCTTGTTTTAATTTATTTCTTCTAGTTTTAATTTATAACCTCTTGGGAACTGGAGAGAAACATAAGCAAATTGAAGACCGAAGGCCTATAGATTAAAATCCTAGAGGAGTTGTTTCTCTCACGCTTCAAAAATTCAACCAAAAGATCAATTGACCCTCGAGGAAACTTGAGGCCTATGCCTCTATTTACTTATATTTTGAAGATCAAATGAAGCCATCAAAATGATTCTCTTAAAAGACAGAGTCGTAGCTAACTACTGCAGAATCCATTAATTCTTGCTAATGTAATTTAAGGTTGCATAATTAAGATGAGGCCAAAGCTGCCTGGTTTTCTTTCAAGCACAGAACTGATAGTTCCATGAATTTGGAGCCCTTATTGCATTATGCCAGGCAGCGTGTCTCATTTTTTAGAATTTTTGCATATATTGGCGTCTGTTCCCTCAACAAGCGTAATTGTTACAGAAATGTGTGCCTTTGTTTTCTTCAGTTTGAGCCACCGCAATCTTGTCATCTTTCTTCTTCAAACAGAGAATTTTGAGGTTGCATCTTTCCATTTCTCTCTTGACATTGGAATTGCTCCAAAACATCCTATTCATGCAATTAGTCTTACACCTTTGAGTTGTCAGCCGTGGTAATATGATTATGGAAAAGAATACATGAAGTAGTTTGCTATTGTCTTTCTCATGTATTTGAAGCAAATATTAGAGAATCTCCCCTTCCTGAAATATCCACTGCCCATAAGGATAATCACTTGGTAGATATTTGAAGATCTGAAATGGTACTAAGTTGATTACAACTTCATAATAAAATCAAAATACTGCATGCTGAAAATCTGTAACCAACAGAGAATACTAGAGAA